GCACTCTGTCTGGGATTTACACCAACCTTCCTTCCCCACTTCATATCTCAGGCACAGGGTTAAGTTCTTAGCAGCTTTGTTAGGACTGTGACTACATCCTCCTGCTTCTGTCTGATGGGCCTCAGGTGGACATTTGACCAACGAGATACCCTGATAAACAGACTTGAGGCCCAAAGACAAGTTAATAAATGCATGGGGCAGATATTATCTTCTACAGAAGCAGAAAAGCAGGGAGCTCTTTTGCAGCAAGAAAGGAAAGAAGTAGAAGCATAGCAAGGCACTGAGATGAAAAAGAGATACAAAAAGAGAGAAAGAATATGAGATCTAGCAGGATTCCATTCCTACCTTCCCATCTTGCCTCATTACTTTCCATGTATTTCTTGAGTCTCCTTGATTCTTTAAAATCAGTTTCCTGCCTCACCCCTTAAGCTAACTTAGGTTGGTTTCTGTTACTCCGAAAAAAACCAAAGTATTCTAATTTACAGTGGGAGTGAAATTCTCCGGATGCAAAAACTTCCTAGTGAGCTGAAGCCAAAGCAGCTTTCAACAGCAGCATTAACTTTCAAGTGTAATGGACCACCACTGAGTCAGTTTGTGGATTCTGCACAGCAGGGGGTACTCAAAAGTACTTAATAGTATTTCCACCTCAATGTGAACAACTCTTCATGGAATCCCAGAATCTCAGCACACCGTGGTAATATCAAGTCAGTGATTTAATCCTTTACCCCAATCAGAATTCTGTCCTTCCAAATTTCCATCAGTTTTTGCTCTAAATCTTCCGTGGTTGGGAAGCAAAGCATAGAAAAAGAAAGGGTATGTATTTAGGAGTAACACAGGCTTTTGTTCAAATCCTGTTCTGGAACTTTCTAACCTTAAAATCTTCCGGCAAGTTATTTATTCTCTTTGATCCTGCCTTTCCTCATTTGGAAAACGGTTACTTTATGGAATTTTTTAAAAGAGGATTTTATGAAATGAAAGCATGCAAAATACCTGCTACAGTGCCTAATCCATAGTAGATACTCAATAAATATATCCACAGACAGCCTTTTCCAGGAACTCATTGATTATCTTCACAATGAATTAGAGATGCCTATAATGTGTCATTTATAGCTTTCCTATGTAAAATATATATGCCTGAATTTGAAAGTCTAAGATGAAATCCTTGATCTATAGCTTTCTTATAAATCTCATGATAAGGAAATCTGTGATAATTTCCACAGATTCTTTTAAAATGAAAGGTTGAACTGGTGGACATTTGAGATGACTTTACAATATGAGATACTGTAACTCTACTGTTCACACTCTAGGTGTGATTTTATTTATTTTAAATAAATCAATACTCTCCCCTCATTTTGTTGGTTGGTAAACAATAAGGACTTCTTCATTCCTTGTGGTCTCTTTCCAGCAGCAGGGAAATTACTACCTCCAAAAGAAGCTATTTCGAGTTTTGGAAAGATATAATTGCCAAGCATCTCTGTAGAGTCAGACGAATCTGCTTCCAACCGAGTATTCAGTCCCAGCTCTTTCCTCCTTTTGGTCAGTGGCACTGGTCCCAGAACAAGACCATGCATGAGAGGTTTCCCTCTTTTCTTGTCAGATTTGCACAGACATGTCCTTGTCATTTCTCCATTTCTTTTCCTTGTCTAAGAATCTATGTTAGCTGTTCAGCTGCTTTCCTTCCTACTTAAGTCCCCAAAGTTTGGAATTTTGTGAAGCAATAAAGGTGAACTCTATTGGAAAATAAGATTCTGGCCTGCACTGGAGCATTTGGAATGCATGAGTGTTTTAGAAACGTCCTTTTCTGCTCATAGTCCATTGATACTGCTTCAGGGACCTGGAGCTTTGGGTAAATATTTTCCTGGCTTAGACTTTTCCTATACTCCAAGCTTCAGTCTCTTCTTCTTCCAGCTTGCCCCCAATCCCTGGGCTTCCATCCACTTGTGCCTTAATGGATTGATTTACTTGTTGAAGAGTTACTGAGTTGCTACTACATACAAAACTCTCTATTAACTCTGATCTATATTTCACTGATAAAAAATATCCGAACCTTGCCCTCAAGGAACTCATGGTCTAATAGAGGTGATAAGATACACACACATGGAAACGAAACCCAAGATATAATATTTAATAGCTTGGCTCAATATTTCTCAAACCACAGATTGCAGCCCATTAGCAAGTCATGGAATCAATTAGCAGGTCATGACCAGCATTTTTTTAAATGAAATAAATTGGATAGAAAATATTGAAGGGAATCACACATTAAAGATGTGTTGTTTTATGAAACTTTTATTTAAATTATAAGGAAAGAAAAAAATAAATTATAAGGAAAGTGTGTGTGTGTGTGTGTGTGTAGGTAAGGTGTAATATATGGCTTAAAAACACTGTGCTTCACACTCAAAAGTTTGAAGAACACTAGATTAGGAGAGGAATAGATAGAGAAATGCGTCTCTAACTTATACATGTGAATCAGCTAGGAATCTTCATACAAACATTCTGGTTCAGTCGCATAGGGCAGGGGACTCAGATGCCCTGTGGTGCTGCTGGTGCTGGTCCTTGTAAGGAGCTGGAGTGTTACAAAGACAAACTCTATTTCAAGAACCTAAGGAAGTCCCCAAAGCCATTCATTTGAGACTTTAAGAGCCTCCAAAGGAATGAAAGGAAACAGGATTTCCCCTTCTCTTCCTGGTTTTTGGTTTCGGTTGATTGATAGAAATCCTAATTGAGCCCATTCTTCCCCAAAGCCTGTGGCCATCCAGCTCCTGGGTGCTGAATGTTGAAACCAAGGGACCAGGGAAACTTCAGACCATTTACTGTGAAAAGCTCCACTGCAGTCTCTGAGGATTGGCTCCCAATTTTCCATTATATCTCAGACACATGTGCCTTTCCATACAGTGTCCCCTGCAATTAACAGCAGACTACTTCCTATAAAACAGGCTTAAAAGAACAGGGTTGGGAAGAGCTTCATTGATTTCAGCTTTACCTGCCACCACATTTCATTAGGCTTTCATCACTTGCATCCTGATAACTGCCTTGACCTCCTAATGGTTTGCTATGCCTGCAGTTCCTTCCCTTTCTTTCCTCCCCCTGGCCTTCCCCTTTCCTCATCTCTTCCCCTTTCAAATCCATTCTGTACAGGGATGTATTGATCATCCTAAAAAGCAGCTTTCACTATTTTTCTTTTGCTGCTTAAACCCCTTCAGTGGATCCCCATCACCTAGGCAAGCTCTCTGCTCTTGCCAAACATGTTTGCTGCTCTTGTAACATGTACTTCTTCATCTCGCATCCTGACCTCTCTCCCTTGCCTTGCATGATCTTGCTTTTCCAGATTTCTGGATCCTGCCCACTCCTTAGGATTTCGCTTAAATCCCGTCTCTTTCATGAAGTCTTTTTTTTTTTTTTGAAGCCCCAGAGGAAATAAATGCCTCTCCTTTTGCTGATGCTCATCACAAAACTGCTGAGTATAATTTGTGTCCTGATGTGTGGCAGAGAAGGCACATGTTTGGCAGTAGAAGACCAGAGCTAACCAAAATGGATGTGCCTAACCAAATTGTGTTGACCTTGGACAAGCCATTTGTCTTTTCTGAGCCTCAATGCTTCCTTTAAAATGATGAGAAGCTTGGAGACAGAGATCTCTAAGTGTCTGCACACATACTCAGTAATATGTACATTTTGCTAGTTTTTGTGTGTCCCTAGAGATGTTTCTGTTCTGTAACTTTTTTAAAATAAAAAGTAAGGTTTCTTGTTAATACGAATTATTTATTACCCATCCTTTGAAGTGTCTGCTAATCTAAAAATGCTCATATGTATTTGTTTTGTCTTCCTCACTCCTATCAGGAAGGAGCCTCGTTCAACGGTTGGAGCCAGGAGGCCCAAGGAGGGCCCTAACGGCGCGCAGAGCAGAGGACGCAGCCTGCAGCCAGGGAGGGCCCTCCGATCCCGGGCACCGCCGGGCAGCTCCTCGAGTGAGCGCTCAGTAATTATCGGTCACTTGACTGGAGGTTGTCAGGCCCATCTTGCAAGACAACTCCTTTCTCCCTGGAAGGAGGAGCCCCTTGGAGTCCGTTGGTTAACGGGAAAAGTGCTTACTCTGGGAGGAAGGCGGGGCAAGCCGGAACGAGCTCTCGCTGGGAGCCCGCGTATTCCCTCACTCGGTGTTTCCGAGCCCCATTCTTCGCCTGGGAGAGGTGAGGGGGTTCCAGGGTACTTGGAACCTGTCCCTTTGGTGGAGACACGCATCCGCCTCTGGCCGCCGCTCGCGGCTGATCCTGCGGAGTGGAGCGCCCCCACCCCCCGCGACCCGGGTTTCGCTCAGGCTCCCTCCGTTCTGCAAAGGGAGGGGGGAGCTAGGGGAGCCTTGCACGCCAGTCTTCCCGGAGCTGCCGACGAGGAGCCCTGCGCCCTGGGGAGCCTCTGGGCGGCTTCCCCTCCTCGGCTGCGCGGGCGTGCGGGCTCTCCCCGCCACCCCCACCCGCGGCTCGCCCTAGCTCCCTCCCTCCAGCCCGGCCGGCCGGAGCGCGCACACCGGGGCTCCGGCACGTGGGCGCGCGGGAGGCGGCGGCCGCTGCTGCCGCTGCCGCTGCCGGAGCCCAAGCCCGAGCCGGAGCCCGAGCCCGAGCCGGAGCCCGAGCCCGAGCCCGAGCCCGAGCCCGAGCCCGAGCCCGAGCCGGCGAGATCGCCCTCCATGCTGCAGGCTCTGCGGTCGCCTTCCGCTCAGCCTCTGGCCGGAGCCCAGCCCCGCGAGCCCTGCGAGCGAGTGCAACAGCCGAGGGGAGGAGGGCCCGGACGGGAGGAGGGGCGCGGCGGGCTGGGGCGAGCCGGGCTCTGAGCGAGGGGTGCAGCCCGGCTCTCTCGCCAGCTCTCCGCTCCCGCCGCGGCTGGGGGTTCCAGGCAGCGCGATGCCGCTGGGCTCCTCCTAGGCGGCGGCCAGCGGAGGCTTCCCGCAGCCTCTCGGCCCGCGGCGGCCCCATTCCGCCGGCGAGTCCCTTGCCTATCCCAGAGGATTCGCCGGGCCGCTCGAGCCGAAGCGAGCGCGAAGTCCGAAGTCCACCCCCGGCGCCGCCAACTTCCCCGGGAGCCCCTCGCCCCACTGCAGCCTGCGCCGGCGCTCGGAGCGATGCGCCCCCAGCCGGGCGGCGCGCCCTCTGCCAACTCGCCACCCATGGGATCGACTGCCCTCGGCTGCCCCGCTTGGAGCGCGTAGCCTTAGCCGCGTGGCCCGGGAGACGAGCGAGACACCCAGGCGTTGCACGGATTCCACGCGCGCCGGTCTGCGGGGGTCCCCTCCGGGGGCGGCGTTCACGCCCAGGGGTGAGTAGCCCGTTCGCGGAGGCGAACCGTTCCCCCAGCTAGTTGCTTGCAGGGATGGCAGGGAGACACGAGAAAGTTGAGACCCTTTGCACCTATCCTGGGATTTGGCAGCGAAACGCAACACTGGTTGCCCCGGCCCGACTGCCTTCGGGGTTTCCCCGATTGCCTTCACGTCTGAACCAAGGAAGGAGACCCCTTCCGCTTCTACAGGAGAAAGGGGGCTCCCTAGAGCAGGCCACTGACTCTCCCCGACCAGGGTGGCATTGGGGGCTTTTCTGCCGCCCGCGCATTAAGCAGACACCCGGCTGAGCGCTTGGAGATCCACCGCCGCCTGGGCGCGCTCGGAGATCGTGGGCAGCCCGGGCCCCTCGGGGAGGCTGAGCGCGCTTCCTAAAACAGTAGTGACTGCCGGGACGTGAAGCAAGTGTGTATGTGTGTGATTGGGAGCAGGGAAGGTAGCCAGAGGAGGAGGCGCAAGTGAAATTTCTCTGTTGCTGATGGATTGGGTACCCTGGATGACCCGCTCCTCAGTGCGGGTTTGTGGGCGCAAGATCTAGGGTGGCCGGACAGAGCCCAACAGGTGGCCTGCACGGGCTCCTGGGGCCAGGCACGCGGGAAGGGAACCGCAACTGAACCGCATCTAGGGGCGCATCTGAACATGGGTAAGGAAACGCGCTCTGCTCTCAGGCCCGGTTTGCGCTGAGTGTGTGAGGCATCCAAATGCCTCCTGTCGGAAAACAGCGGCCTCATTGTGTGCCTGACTGAGGTTTCAACTTGCAGGCAACTGAGGGGCCATTCAGCTGGGGCGACGTGGACTTGGCTGGTCCTCGGACGCGAGCCCCTGCCTTCTTTAGTCCCTGGTGGCGGGTATTCCAGCTCCCCGGGCTGGGCAGGGAGCCAAACGTCAGCGCTTTGCTCCTCTATACTCCCCTAAGGGGAGGGGGAGTTGCGGGAGCATTGCGATGAGCCTCGGCCTGAGTGAATTCTTCTTTACCTGGCTGGCTCCTGCACTTTCACCCTAAGACTCAGACGGAGGGCTCCAGGTGATTGGCGTGTATAGGTGGTGTGCGGGGAGGAGTGTGCGGGCAGGTCGAGCTCCAGAGCTGTACGGAAAGAAACTAGAGAGAGACAAAGTTCTGCACCTGCCCACGGAGATTGGAATTGGGAGAGGCTGTGGTTCAGCTTTGAAAAAGTTTCATCTGAACTCTGCATCCTTTGGTGTTTTCGAGTGTGCAAAATACTCTGGGTCCTGATAGCAGTGGCCCTCCAAAGTAGCATCTTCCAGAGCCTGCTGTGTGACTTCTCTATCCCTCCGGTTGCTTAACTGTAGATCTGGAAAGTTATCTCTGCTCATGGCAGAGGCTCTGGTATGTCTAGGAACCAGAGATGGGCTGGGGTTGGTAGATGGAGGAGCATCCTGGGGGAGGGGATGTTGGGGGGAGAGTCTACATGCAAAGCCGAGGCTCAGTTTTTACTTAGATTTTGTTAATGGGCTGATGCAAACTGATGGGCATTTTAAGACGCTGAAGCTTTCCCAGCATCTTGGCGCTGCCACTCCACTGCCAGCTCTTGGGGTATGGCTGTGTTAGGGAAATGAGGTGACACATTCCACAATGCAAAAGAACTCTCCACTGCCAGGCTTGGCCCCGGGGCTTCCCGTCCAGGGGAAGGTCTGGGGACTAGACCCCTGTGGCCTTACTGTTTCTATTCCGTAACCCTGCTGCGTCTTCCCAGGTGGGATTCCATGTCCCTTACCATGAGGGACCCTCATCGCTGGGGGTCTCTGGCAGCAGGTCTCCAAGAACTTGTAACTAGAGGGAGCCTCTTGTAGAGGGCGCTGGCTGATTGAGCGTGGGCCTCCGGCTTCCTAGCCAGGAGTGTGCCCCCTAGGGGCTCCTCCTTGAGGGGACTCAGGAGCAGGCGTCAAGAGCAGGGACTGGCAGTGAGGCGCACTGTTTGACAGAGTAGAGAGACACACAGAGGCTGAACACGAGGGGAATCAGATACACACACATACACACACACACACACACACACACGGAGGCAAAAGGAGAAAGAGACGAAAGAGAGAAAGAAAGCTATAGGGTAGAGGGAGCAAAAATAGGAGAGAGGAGTGGAAAGAAGGAAGAAAGAGAAAATAAATCAGGAGAAAAGAGCATGAGAAGGAAAGCCTCAAAGGGACAGGGATGGGAACCAGGGTGGCGAAGTCAGGGGGCAAGAAAGAAAAGGGTGGGAGAACAGAGTGGGTCCAGGAAGAGGGGAGGCACTCGCTTCTTGTATCTAATTTTTACAAACCACTCAGATGGTCTAAGGAAGTTGACATAATCCACATCCTTAGGTAGCCCTTCGCCAGTGTTTGTTTCTCTGGGGAGTTGTGAATTATGCAGAAATTGGACACTGGTTTGGAACCCAGCTGTACTGGAGATGACAAGAATGTAAGAAGTTCAGATGCTTGGTATATGCACAGGTGCACGAGTTCATTCGCCTTCCCTGGCTTTATTTATTTATTTTTCTTTCCTGGGCAAACACAGGACTGGAGAATTGGGGAGAAGGTTGTTTCCTTAACTGTTTTAGCCAGTGATGCTCTAACCCCAGCTTGGAGGAATCTCCTGCCTAGCCTCTGAGAAAAACAAATTACAGGACCTACTCCCTTGGGAATCTCAGCCAGCAGAGACAAGAAGGTGCTTTAATGACCGCCCGGGCCCTCCTCCAGCAGGTCATCCTGGACCCACACTTTGATAAACGTGGTGTAGAGTGGGCAATGCCCTTCTCTCATTTGTTCCCATATTTCCTCCTAAGAGACTTAGCTTCATGCCTCTCTCCAGCAGCCCACCCTCTTGCCAAAAGTGCTCATTTCTTGTGATTTTCTCTTGCTATAAGGACAAGCCCAAGGATTGTTCAGCCAGGGTTACCTTTCCATGAACCTCATTAATCACAGTAGCTCCAGGGGACAGCAGAAAGCACTTCTGGTTGACCTTGTCAGGGCTATCCACAACTACCAGGTATTGAGCACTCAGCAGGGCACCGTCCTGGGCACTCCTTAGACACTGCCTATTTAACACAAAAACTATTTTTTAAAAATATTTTATTTATTTATTCATGAGAGACACACAGAGAGAGGCAGAGACAGACAGAGGGAGAAGCAGGTTCCTCACAGGGAGCTGGATATGGGACTCCATCCCTGTACCTGGGATCATGCCCTAAGCCCAAGGCAGACGCTCAACTGCTGAGCCACACAGGCATCCCAACACAAAAACTATTTAATAATTAAAACTATTCCATGGGCCCTTTTTTTTTTTCTATCACTGGTCTTTTAGAGTTGAGGAAACAGAAGCTTCAAAATGATAGATCTATTAATTGTAATAATTAGAATACTTGTTATAAATGTATTAATTATAATAATCTAAATACATATTCTTGTTCCCAGAGAAATCATATTAGTTGTCCAGCAACTGGAGAGTAGCAGTGCTAAAGTCAGAACCTAGGTTTAGGGACTTGAGTCTAAGGTCCTACTTATATAAGTACTGTAGTGGCTCCTAACCCCAACACTCTGTTAGAGAATGGTGGAGCCAAAGATCCTCGGAGAGCTTTCCTGAGACTCTCTGTCTCTGTCTCTGTCTCTCTCTCACTTTATCAATGGAGGAAAAGGAGAAGTAGCAGAAAAAACAAAAAAGTGACTTGCCAGAGATCCTACACCCAGTAGGTGTCAGAACTGGGGCCAGCGCCCTGATAGCTTGAATCTCAGTCCGGCCTTGTCCCCATCAGACCAGTGCGGTTGCATCTAGCTTATCACCAAGGTCACATGAGCATCTCAATTGGAACACAAGTTCCTGGACCCCGCTAAAGGCTTCCCAAATCCAAACCTTGGGGCAAAGAGCCCATTTTTGTCTATGCCCCAAGTCTGCAGCCGCACATTACCATTCACCCCGGTCATAACTCCTGGATTCTGACACTGTGGGTCTCTTTCAGACAGCTTCAAGAGCACTCCAAGTCCCTCCTGCTTCCAATCAAAAAAACACACAAAAAGTAGTATGCTCTATGTGTTCTGTAGCTCTTGCTAATGTGCCACAGGTAAAGAAACAAGCTGGTCAACCCAGAGGCAACTTTGAAAGCTCTTTGAGAGGTATAGCAATCACATTGATGTTTATGATACTCGGTTTTTTCCTGTGCCAAGTTGGAAGCCATTTAAAGAAACATCAAATGCTCCTTCAGTGCATCAGTGACGGTGTTTGTACTAATACTTGACACAAAATGACACCATGAGCCAGGCCAATGTGCTGCTATGTCAAAAGTGTCAAGTTCCATCTCCCAATTTAGTGGATCTAGCTGTGGTGTGAGAAAAACCCCTTGCCTCCTCTTCATTATTACACTTTTGACTCCCTCAGACTATGTCAGTGTCTCCTGCAGGGAAAAAGGAGCCATCACACACACTCTGTCTCTTTCTGGCCCACTTAAATTGTTTTCTCGGTGACCTCAACATCTTTTCCCTTCTATTTCATTGAAAAGTGGCCAAAGGTGCCAGACATCTTGTCCAGCAAACTGTTTTGTCATCTTTTCCCTTTTCAGATCCAGATTTATTTTCTGAATCCGATGCTTTTAACCCTGACCTCTTATTCAAGGATGGTAATTGAGCCTCAGGTAGCTTTGATAAGCGATTGTCCGATAACATGTGTTTTAAATAATGACAGCCATTCGAATAGCACACAAACCGAGGAATAACTCCATTTACAACGTCCGCATCTTTAATACGCTGGGAATGTTTTGCCACTTCAGTGGTGAAAACCTACGTTGCTGGCAGAGCTCGCAGTGGAGAAGTAGAAGGTAGAAAGAAACACTGTTTGTGCTTAAGACTAGGGCTTGGAATGCAGACATCTGGGGTCAAGGCCTACCTTCACCTTGCTAGCTGTTGTAGCCTGGGTCTGCTTGTTGAACTCCTCCAAGCCTCCGTGTCTTCACCTGGACGTCGGAGGCACGAACAGGGTGCCCCTTCTGTGTATGCG